TAGGAATGACGATGATCTTCGTAGAACATTAATGCTATTGCCGCTCCTGTTATAGCAACACGCCCGCCTTCCACCCCTACTCAAAAGACTGACGCTTACCATCATGGCATGAGAAAATATCATGATGGGGTATATTTTGGGTACTGCCCCCACCCCTCAGAAACAGTTGGATAATATTTGTAATACAATTATATATAGCCCTTAATATGACCCCTAGTATAGACTGTTACTGGGTGCGGGCAGTACCCAAGGTCTATTCAATCTTGGGGGCTGGGCTTTCAACAGGGGCATCCAAAGCCCAAACCCTCAAAACCCTAAAACCCTAAAACCCTAAACCCTAAACTTTAAATCCCCAAGTCCTCAACCCTGAACCCTAAACCCTAAAACCCTAAACCCTCTAAACCCTAAACCCTATTATCCTACGCTCGGATGCTGCCATGTGCAGAGGCAGCTGCTGGCTTGGCTCCACCACCCCATGCATTCCCTGAGTTCCTGGCCACAGGGTTTAGGGCCTAGGATTTGGGGTTGAAAGTTTAGGGTTTGGGGTTTAGGGTTTAGGGATAATATTGTTTCGGGTTTAGGGATAATATATGGGGAATAGAAGGATAATGGAAAAGAAAATGGTAACTACTATTTAGGGTTTCGGGTTTAGGGATAGTATATGGGGAATAGAAGGATAATGAAAAAGAAAATGGTAACTACTACTTAGGGTTTAGGGTTTAGGGAGAATACTGTTGATGGAGGAAATCTTGCACCACCTTAAGTCCCTAAAGTCCTAGGAATTACAGTAATTTAGGGCCCCTAGGTGGTACAAGATTTGATCCATCAACAGTATAGGGTAATAGAAGGATAATGGAAAAGAAACTGGAAACTGCTATTTAGGGTTTGGGGTTTAGGGTTTAGGGATAATGTAAAGGGACTTTACTGGGAAGTTCAAACAGGGAACCCAAGGAATATAGTAGGAATAAAATAGGAATATAGCTACAAGGGTCCGTATAATCTATAGAATCTATTATATTCCTACTATATTCTTGGGGTTCCCTGTTTGAGGTTCCCAATAGAACCTTTTTATAATATAGGGTACTATAAGGATAATGGAAAAGAAATGGAAACTACTATTTAGGGTTAAGGGTTTAGGATAGTACGCCCCTAAGCTGAAATCCATCAATATCCTAAATAGGCGGGGGATACGGGGGGTGCAGTATATGGGGTGCTGGGTATGACGAGAACCTATGAGGATTCCCCCTCATGCTTTGTTGGGAATCTGGAAATGGGTTATTATTGGGTTTAGGGTTTAGGGTACTATTGGAAGGGAAACATGGAGATGATATATATATATATGTATATATAGTGACTTCTATAGGCATCGATTCTGCTGTTCCCAAATGAGCATGGGTACATTAGCATTTAGGGCTTAGGGCTTCAAGAGACTAGCTTTGATGTCAGGTAAGCACATTACAAAACACCAGCGCTATAGCTATGTGTAACACAACATAGAAAGAGAATATAGGACATTACCTGGTTATAACTTAGGTTTTCTCCTACCTACAGCCCTTAGACATCCCAATTTAGTTTCAGCTTCCATTTTATGTTGCAAATGATTCTCCATCATCGGGCTCTTGCTTGGGGCTTGCACCCTGGAGGCAGATAAGGTAGTTTCCTAAAGTAGGGGGACCCCAATACAAACCCCAATACATTAGACTCCTGATTATGGGGACCCCAAATTGGTACCCCCAATTTGGGAAACTCATAACCCCAGATCATGGTCCAACCTCGCTACAGACCGCCTCCAAGATACACTTTAGGCCTAGGTTGCTGTTCCAGAACTCAAAATCCATTTGCCATGATGTGGAGGATACATAAGGGCTTTTTTAACATGGTGAAGTTAGTTTGAGTTCCCTAACAATAAGCCTGTAATATGCTGACCTCAAGCTAGCATGCCCTCACCTGGAATGAGAAGGGGGGTGCATGTTACGCGCCCTTGTGGACGCGTGGCTGGAGTTATGTGGGGATTACAAGGTGACTACAAGGATCTGTTTTCGGGTTTGTAAAAGCCTAAACATTAAGCCCTAAACCAGGCGCGAACTCGGGTTGAGGGTTGGGCGGGAGAGAGGACCGGCATGTGTAGAAAGCCTGCGCAGATTTTGGGGAGATGTGTGGATGTTCTAACACACTCGCCTGACGGGATTGAAGCTTGCCGGCATGACAAATCGGAGAAGTGGTGGATGGATTTGTTGCCGGACCTATCGATCACAGGGTGGGGTAGGGAGACTCCCCCAAACGAGGACTCAAGCGCTTATTTGGGAGGTTCCAAAAGTAGGGGATCCCAATACAGAAATAAACCCTAGAACCCCTCAAATTGTATGTATATATGTATACACAAATACATGTGTATGAACACTCACATTTATAGCTCCTAAATAACCACTACAACACTTTCAAAAGCCCCTATATACTTATCAAACCTGTTGTTTGTTTTTAGGATCGGAGGGCTCTGGGTCGCACAGGTTTTGCCATGGACCGCCAGCCAAAGCAGCTTGTTTATAGCGCGGTATGGAAGAATGCGCAACGGCAATGCTGGTTGGAAGCTACCAGTGCAAAGTCTCCCCTAAGAACCCTTTTATAATACAGGGTACTATAAGGATAATGGAAAAGAAAATGGAAACTACTATGATGCGGTTATATAGGGTTTAGGGTTTAGGGATTAGGGTTTAGGGATTTGGATCTAGGGTTTAGGGGTTAAGGGGTTTAGGGATTAGGGACTAGGGTTTAGGGATTAGAATCTAGGATTTAGGGATTAAGGTTTAGGGTTTGGGGTTTAGGCATCCTTCAGAACACAAGAACACGCTGAATTGTCAGGACCCCACCTACTTGATTAGCCCTAAACCCTCAAACCCAAGCCCTTCGTAGCAGTTTCCATTTTTTCCATTCTCCCAATTTCACCCCAAATCCCCATTTTCGGGCTTTGGACATCCGAGGCTGCGACTGTTTCTGCTTCTCGTAATCGTCCATCACCGTCTGCCAGGGGTGCTACATGATAGCATGCAAATCCCTGCTCCTCGTAGAATCATGTCACGTTTTGGTCTAGCAAGGTTTCTGATAAGGCGGAGGCAACTCGTCTTTCAATTTCCAGCACTGTCCAGTTATTGAAGTCTTCCGCCTTCAGCCCAATGACGCCCGTGCACCAAACACGTAAAGACTTGATTTCAACAATAACTTTGTTCATATAATTACTTGAGGCCTTCATGGCAGGTATGTCAATGAGGGTTGGGGGGAGGGGCGGCGTTTGACGGCAGCTGATGTAGAAGCCTACGAACTACCAACATCATCTTGAGGTCTGCTTCAAGTACCCTATACCATACTGAGACAAGGAACCTAGGACCCTATCTTTGGTAACTATTCCTACATTACACTCTGAGAGATGCTCCAAACTGTCTAGTCCCCCTTAAGTAGATGGAATATGGGGTATATGGGGATCTTATTATAATAGACCGGAAACCAGATTCTATCTACTTAATTGGGACTATAATTTTCGGAACTGATGGGACGCCGCCGTAGACCCTCAAAGATACTTGAATCCCAAATCAGAGGATCCCCCAAAGTGACCCCTAACTTCTGGAAGCCGCCAGCCCAACGAATCCTATGCATGTATACACCTCCTTCTACTTGTATAGATATGTTTATACTACGTGTATAGACATGTATATATGTATGGGGGCTGTTCTAAGTTTCTATTCCCGAAAACTCATCAGCCACTGCGCCTTTCGCGGCTCTTTCGCACACCGTAAAACTTTGTTTTTGCATGGAGTTTTTGTTCTCGTTCAGAAGCAACCCGAGAAAGATCATGAACCCATACCTTTTAATGACCTTTCGCCCCGCTTCTGTGCGTCTTTCGCGCGCCAAGAAAAAACACCCATGGAACCCTGTGCTGCGAACTCATTGGAACACAACGCAAGGGCTCTAGAACAACACTCAAATACCTGTAGAATCCCTAACCCGAAACCATGTAAACTCAAGCCAAAGGGCAACCGACTCTGTTTGCTGGTTGTTCGTAGGGACTACTTGAGGGATCTATTCATCCCTCCCCTACCCTCAGCCTGCGTTCCCCGAAATAAAACAGTAGTCACCATGTTCCTTGTTCATTCAATGCCAGCATTCCTACAATTTTCAGTTCAGGGTTTAGGTCTAACCCTAAACCCGAAACCTAAACCCTAACCAGTAAGTCTCTGGTCCCCACCTGGTATCTTTGCGAGATCCAATCGGCAGCCTCTTGCGCATTGAATCTGGCCTCCCATGTTTAGGTTTTAGGGTGCAAGGCTAGGGGGTTTAGGGTTTCGGTAGGCACCCAAGAAACCGTTGGAAATAAAAGGGTGTTATTCTGGATTAAAATTTCTAAATCCAGCCTAGGGTCCTGGTACTCGCAATAAGGAAGATGGTCAACAAGGTCTTGACGAGATTTGGGAAAGGAGACATGGCGGACACCGATGTTGACTTCAAGTTCTGAACAGTGATAATTACTAGTAGCGACACGTGAAGAAGTACATTGCTGATGGCCGCCGCAGTGCAACACAAAAATTGGTTCTGGTTCTTCAGAACAGCAACGCGAGAAGAAAACACGCACACAACAGTGGATGTTAACGCATCAACACCCACACTCACAATTCGTCCCTTGGGGCTCTTCCAGCCGATCGCACAACCTTGCTGCCTCTGTCCGTTCCCTGCGGTGCAGAGATGGAAACTACGGTGACTCGACGCTTGGAGGGCACAAGAACAGAAGAGCCAGTGGCCAAAACCCGCCAAAGCGAGAGCTCGCTCGCGATTAGCGCTTAATTGGCTTCATCCAGTACAGAATGACAAATCCACCTTCGCGAGCGCCTGCGGCACTTCCGGTGTGATCCTTGCGGAGAGAGCTTTGGTTGACACGAAAATCCTGGGGGACCCTACGTCTCAAAGACCTCCGAATGATGATATCATTGCATGAAGGATTTGTGTATCGACGGCTAAGCTGTTGGTTCCCCACTCTCCGGGTCTCTGGCCGACCAGAGGTGGACGCTGCGGTCGTAGAAGGATGCTGAAGCTGCCAAGGAAACTTCCGAACACCCGAACTGCCAGGCGACCCCGTAGCCCAGCGAACCATGCGCTCCTTCTGGCGCATCCGACGCGTATGTAGCGAGGGGCTTGAAATCACCATCATTGACCGAGAATACAGGAAAGCCGCAGCGCATTGCGGCGACTGCAAGAACACCACACCATGAAGGATGCCAGGAGATTTGGTATGCTCCGTCCCCGAGCCGACCAGTCAAACCCAGCGGCTCAGCTGTGAGCCGCCTCAAGTCGAAAAGCCTGAGCCTTTCATCGTAGCTCCCAGATGCTACCTGCAACGGGTTGAAAGGGTTGAATGCTAGGGCTGTCACGCCTGCTTCATGCGCGCGGCGATTTCGAAGCACCGCACTCGGGCTTCGGGTATCCCAAGCAGCCAAGTGACCGTCATCCGCGCCAGAAAGAATCAACGCAGGCTCAGCAGGGGAAACGTCAACGCACCAGGCTTCTAGATCATGCTGCTGTTGCTGCCCAAGCTTCTGAAGGCCATCTGCTGCAAGCTTCAGGTGGTAGCACTTACCTTCCTGACCCACCACTGCTAAACCATCTCCCTCCACGCCAACTCCAAAGCAAATGTGGGTCAAGATCTGGCTGCTTAACCTGAACGTTTCATGCAATACACCAGTCTGCGAATACAGCCGCGCACATCCGTCAGCGCAGGCAGCTACCAGCACACCCTCAGGACCCCACGCGAGGTCATACACGCCTGGGCTTTCCAGGGTGCTCTCACGGCGCAGGGAATACCTAGGCTTCTGTGAACCAAAGAGTTGGCTGTAGGGACTACTTACGGGTTGCTATACAAAGAATAAGAAATAAAAGCTACCGTATTCTTGGGGTGTCTGAGGGGCTACTATATGGATCCGTTCCTGTTTTCAGGGAGTTTTCCGTTGTACCCCTGGGGTTGTGCCCGTGGCTTGGATCCCTAACCATGGGATATTGCCGTTAATGAAAGCATTTGAGACTTACAAGCTAAGATTGCATACCTCAAGGGTGCAAGCTTAAAGGCTTTGACGTAATTCGAAACCTTAAACCCTGAACCCTAAACCATCCCTTACCAGACATTAATACGCTAAGCATATCTCCAGGACGCGGCGAGGCCGTAGTCGTTCAAGCCATGGACACAACCCTGAACCCCAAACCCTTCAACTATAACATAGTATATTATACGATATGTTGGTATATTATGAAGAGTATTTTTATTATACAGTGATGTAATAAAATGTAACATGGACCTTTGTGTTCTATTTAATTTCCTTGTGAAAATGCTGCAGCAGCTCCGAGTTAGCAGCACGACTTCCATTCGCTTCTATCTCTTCCCATAGCCGTGCAGCATTCAGATTCTCTTGTAGTGTAATGGACGCTGGCTCATTGCTCACGGCGAACATGTCCTCCAACTTACGCTTGCATGGTATAGTTGGAATAAGAGAATCTGGATTTGCTTTCTTGTCCGCAGGTAAGAAGAAATGCTTGGCCGTCAGTTCATCCCACATATCCGCTGCTACTAAAGAAATAGCTCCCTGAGCTCGCCCAAGGGTGAGGCTGAAGCTTCCATTTCTTTCAAATCAATTGCATCTCTCTTCTGTTCGTAGGGACAAGGGTTTGGTTTTACTCAAAATCTTTTCAAATTACTCTAAATATTATGATATATCTATCGTACCGTTATGCTACTCCATTACAAAGACAAGCAGATGAGGTTCGATGGAAAAACAAGATTTTCAAATTTTATCGAAATCTTAAAGTTTCAGGTCGCCAAACATTTTGCTGCTTTTAGACGATTTTCAAGATTTTCAAAATTTTCTTTTGAAAAACATGACAATCGCAAAAATCTTGAAAAGTTTGCCAATATTTGGCGACCCCGCACTTTTTCATAGTTTTTGAACATTTTGAAAAACTGCAAGCGTTTGATGTTTCAATGTTTTCAAGATTTTCAAAAATTTTCGAAAACGTGAAATTCTTGAAAATCTTGCAAAACCGTGAGCTTTGAAATTCCAAGATTTTCAAGAAATTCAAAATTTTGAAAAACGTGAAAAGCGTGAACATCTTGAAATTAGTATATATGAAGAAGTTTCGCCAAATAGAGCAGAAAGGTCCTACGTACATAGTAGAATATAGGACAATATAGTATAACATACTACGATATAGTATAATATCTTATCACAGAGTATAATATACTATATGTATTCTACATACCCCCAAACCCCTGAGCCCTGAACCCCAAACCTTCAAAGCCTAAATGCCAAGGCACTGACCCGAGTCTTGGCAGAAATCCACAGTTGCAAAGACCAGAGCTCCACGACGATCATCAGTGTCCTCCACATGTTCATACCTCAGATGGTTTAGGGGTTCAGGGCTAAGGTTGTTTTTTCTCTGGGTTTAGGGGTTAGGGTTCAGGGGTTTAGGGGTTCAGGGTCTAGGGGTTCAGGGTTTAGGGGCTAAACAAAGGGTTCTGGCTTTACGGGCAGCGTGCAAAGGAACGGAGCGCAACTTAGGCGCTTATTAAAGGCCGCCCAAGCCTGAGGAGATGTTTCAAGTTTCGAATGAGCTCAAAAAATGTAATATAGGGACCTGATTCATTACCACTATCTTCTCGACGACTATTTAAGGTACCCTATACCATAAACACCCAAGCAATCTGAGGCCCCTACACCAAAATACTCCTGATAAACCCCTGTAGAAACGCAGCTGCTATTTCCTGTTCCATGTTCTCTCCCATAGCCGGTAATTACTTAGGCACCTATACCCTAAACCTCAAAAACCTAAGTCCTAAACCCTAAACCCTACGCCCAAGACTTCTACATTAGCTCAGAACTCTAAACTGGTCTGAAGGAGACCAACAAACTGCCAATATCATTTTGAGGTCTATTTGAGGTAGCCTACACCATAAAACAGCCAGCGGGGCCTTCCCTAAATAGTGGGCTGCAATTGAGACCCCAGCATACTATACTGCCCAAACGGGCCCCTGAATTTCGGAAACCCCAATCCTGCAGGGAAAGCACTCACGGCAAGCAAGCTGGTAAAACAAAATGGCAGGGCCGATGGTCAGGACAGAAGGGACTACAATTCGTGGAGTTGCTTGCCATCATCTATTCTGAAGAAGACATTCGCAAGCTGATAAGATGACGGCCTCAAACAAAAAGCTCCTTGTTACGCAGAAGTCTAATCCAGCCACAAGGCAGGTTTGTCTGATTTGCTTGGATGAGGCAAGCGGCATTCCAAAGGCCAAGCGTGCATTATGCCCCTGTGGGCACCACCTTAGTACTGCAGGGGGAGTGGGGGAGTGCAGGCAGGCACCAACAGTGGGGGCGAGCTCTAAGAGATCCCGTAAAAAATTAAAGTCCAAACAAAAGGGAAGTCACTGCCCCAATCACCCTTACATGAACGCAAGGCACTCGATGACATCCGGGAAGCACTCGCAGGCTTCAATGGCTTCCGCCTTCAAGTCCACCATGGCGTGGGGGCGTGGGCTCAGCTGCCGCCCTCCGATACACCGCAAATCTACACCTGAGTAGTACTTGCATGGTGGGTTGAACCAAGTAGTATTGTTTCCTTCATCTAAACTAAAATGCTCAGGAGGAAGATTTAGTCAAACTGTATAGTGGGGGCTGAAGTACCTCCATGTGATTCATGTGGTAGCTGTTAAACAACAGGATGCCGCTGGGTATATGTTCAATACATTCTAAACATCAAGGGAGGTGGCGGAGTTCATATCTTCTACATGAAGGCCTACTGCGCAAAATCCCAAACCTCCGGAGCATGCTTTTGAGATTCGTAGTAAATTTTGGCTGCGTTTTGGGGCATCCTAAACCCCTGACCCCTAAGTCCCTAAACCCTAAACCCCATAACCCACCCGGTCATGCAGGACTTCTTGTATCAACAGTCCACGGATATGAGAAATCATCAAGGGGGTACTGTTTCGGGCTCTAGCTCCTGTCGGAATTCTGTGTGCATCACGTGGAGAACACCACACTCATTGGCATCAGCACTCACTTTGGAAGCCCTTTATGAAACTAGCCCTACTGCACCCACCATGAAGCCCAGATTCTCTTGACCATGGAACCCCAGGGGACTGTGAGTGTAACCCAGGCCCTTGATTAATTAACCCACTCCCCTTAATAGAGATCATAATAGGGATCCTAATTTTAAGGCCCTTAAAAAGGAGGGGGTTCCTTAATCAAGGGTCTACAGTACGGAGGCTGAAGCCCTAAACCCTAAACCTTAAACTCTTAAGGTCAATAGTGTGTTTAGGGTGTAGTTTCTGCGGTGTTCAGGTTCCAAGGTTTGGCTACCAAACCTGAGAACCTGAAAGCCTTAGGGTTTATAGTCCCCTCTAAGTAGATAGAATATGGGGTAGATGGGGATCTTATTATAACATACGCAAAGCCATATTCTATCTACTTAAAGGGGGACTGTAGGGTTTTGACCTACTCTTTAAGCTTGACATCACCAAACTTTGGTAGTGACAGGCTTAAGGAGTACAGCAAGTTGAGGTTTCATGAGGCTTGAACTTTCATATCCCTGCCCGATGACCCCATGGGTTATCTATTATAATCCTAGTGTCCCTGAGAACTCTTATTTTGGGACACCTCAGTCGGGTAGTTTCCACAGCGGGACCGAATATCGGCCCATATACGATATTCCTTACCACGGGGACTGCCCGAAGGGGCTGTCAAAATATCAAAGGGAGGCCGGAGATGTTGGACGGAGATGAGGTGATGGTTATTGGCTCCCTTGTGTGCTGTAGGAGGTCCAACTCAACACGCGCTCTAGATACCGGAAACCCTAAACGGACTCTATATATTGGGATCCCATGTTACGCAACCCCATGGGAATCCTCGGGGAGGCTTGGGGTATTAAGGAAGTCTATGGAAGTCCTGAGTAATGCATTCCCCCTTATAAAGGGGGGCCCATTTGAGGATTCCTTAGTTCCAGTATGAACATCTAGGGGTGCTACCCCAATGCTGCAGTCGTAGTACGCTTCCGTGCGAGGGTTGGGCAATCTGGGCACAGGTCGGTTCATGACAAATGGCAAGATTGGACCGCCCTATGTACGGACCCGAAACCCTAAACCCTCAACCCTAAATCCTAAACCTTAACCATCATCACAGAATCAGGTAAAGTTCTCGAATCAGAAGTGCGGGAAGTTCAGCTGCTTAAAACCCTAACTCCTATGCCCTAATTGCTTACAGCCCTGTTTATTCCTGCCAAAGAACCTTCCTCCTCTATATCCACATATCCTAGGAGTTCAACCTGTAACTGCCTACCACGCAACCCCCCTAATGATGAATTCGCCCGGTATAGCACCATTACATATTATGTATATACATATATATAAATGTATATATATATATAGGGAGGCATTGTTTCTTAGGGAGGACGTAATCCTATATAGCCCTATATAACCTTAAAACACCGCAGTTATTGACTGAAGAGGGGTAAACCTCTTCTTCCGCTGCGCCTGGCCCTCGCCGTTGGATTCTTCAGCACTGCGGCTCGCATTCTCCTACACAAAATTCAGAGTTGTTGTTTATAGTCCCCCTTAAGTAGATAGAATATGGGGTATATCGAGATCTTATTTTAATATACCCAAAGCCATATTCTATCTACTTAAATCGGGACTAGGGTTTACGGTTGAGGGTTAAGGTTGGAAGTATGGCCCCTAACATGGGCTGGGGTCCTCGTGCGCACGCCACGCGCCTTCACCCTAAACCTACACCTTGAACCCAGCAAAACCTAAACCCTAAACC